GTGTGTTAATCAGTCAGCATATTTCGACCTTCAGATGTACGAAACCTACGAGGCTACAGTTTCGGAACTTAAACTACTAATATGGATAGGTGCTTAGGAATAAAACAAACATCCAAGTCCTCATAGTTCTCAAGTAGAGATGTGCAAAAGGTGTTTTAGCGAGAAAAAAATTTCGGGATTCAGATAACGTTGAGACTTTCCGAAGATGTTCCTTATCTGCGAGTGACCCACAGATTTAAATTCAGCCTGCAAGCAACTCAGGATTCAAGTATGTATACGTCAAAACTCAGACTGACACTTTGCCAGTATGAGAATTAGGTAACAATTTCACACCTCCACAATCAAAGTAACTTAAGAGCTAAAATATTCTAAGCATGGCCCATGGCCGTAATTGAGCAGCAGTATGTGAAAAGAGCTTTCAAATCCCCCTACAAAACACATGCGAACACGTAAAAATTGACGATAATAATTTTATAACTTCGCAGCCAAAGCAGCTGGGGTGCTTAGATTTTACAAGTATGACTCATGCCCGCACTTGCGCAGGTGTACGTGAGAAAAACTTCCACATCCCCCTAGTTTCATGAACGAAAACATGCAAATTGACACTGACAGTTTTGCAGCTCCGTAACCAAAGCGTAGTGCTGTGTGCATCGTCCAAAACCAAGTTTAGGTATGTGTATGTGAAAACAACTTTGACATCTCTCGTCCCTCCTATCTCAAGTACAGAGAAATTTGGCGCTAACAATTTTTGCAAGTCACACTAGCACTGTAAGATAAAGATAAAGGCAACAACGAATCCAAATTTGATGCGTATTTCTATTCCGTCAGCTAGAAGTACCAGTCTAAAAAAAGTGCGACTAAGCAATCAGCATCTGCGGAGAAAAATGTTCAAAAAACGCATGTTCACACCAGCAAGCGTGGTACACGTCACTACTGGTTTGTCTTGTGTTAGGGTGTTAAAGGTAGATGGAAATTTCACAGTTCGCCTCCGTTTTTTCACAGTACAAATGCAGTGTTCCTGCCTCGCCTTTTCGCCTTCCTTAAAAGCATAAAACTACAGGAAGCAGACTGTCTCAGCTCGGCTATAATTAAACCAATCTCAATAATTCTGCCTCTTCAACACACCCAAAGAGAAACCAATGCAGAAATATACAGTGTACGGGATGATTTCTTATTCAATCGCGTCGTCTTAGTTTCTGATCACTACTGGTTCGATAAAACAATAAGAGGTTCCACATGTACGGCGGCCATAAACATCTGCTTGCCCAATCAAACTCTCAGCACTTACCGTTAGCAGCACCCCGGTCAGAAGTCATCAGTGTCGATGCACTTCCAGCGGCAACAGATGCAGCATGAAAACTAGAAAACTGCGGCGGATCATTGACCAAATCTTGCAAGACACTTTGTACATAATCATCATTGCGAATAAGCACTGAATCATTTGCTCCAAACTCTCCCATTTCAAACTGTTGCCGTTGTCGTAGAGCAGCCAAATTTGGTGCACTGACGCTCAAGCTTGAATAACGATTAAAGTTAGGCAACATTAAAATAACTGGCCAACGCACGGGCTGTCCGTGCGAAGATGCGTTTTTTGCATAGTCTCCCGCAGTTTTTGTCGCTGGCGGCACCGGCTTTTCCGACTAATGCTTTTCGCTAACAAATTAAGACTGGCGGCCAGAACTGTCAAGAAACACCCCCTTAAAATTTCAGCTTTCTAGCTTTCCCGGCTTCTGAGTTAGCAATTTACCCGAAAAAAATTTTCACGGGCCCATACGTGGATACCATGCATACCCAATGTCTGGGCTTGAGCTCATTGAGACTTACGTGGACGGAGAACATCCTCTTAAAATTACAGTCTCCTAGCTTTTCAGGTTCTCGAGTTAGCAACTTACCTGAGAACTTTGGTGCATCCGTGCGTGGGTGCCACACATACTCGACAGCTGCGTTTGGACTTATCAATACCTACTTGGGCGGGGAACATTTCCTTAAAATACCAGCATTCTAGCTTTTCAGGGACCCGAATTAGCAACTTACCCGAAAAAAACTTTGGCGGGCCCGTACGTGGGTATCACGCGTACCCAGGAACTGGTTTGAAGCTCATTAAGACATACGCGGACAAGGAATGTCGTAGTAAAATTTCAGCTTTCTAGTTTTTCTAATCCCCGAGTTGGCGACTTACCCGAAAAGAATTATGGCAGGCCCGTACGTGGGTACCACGCATAACCAAGCGCTGGGTTTGAGCTCGTTGAGACTTACGTGAACAGGA